TTCTGGCTTGTCAATACTTTAATTAATTTCAATCTGTTTCTAAAACAGAAGTGAAGTGCATAATTGACTTGAATCTGTTAGGAGTTGTCCTGCCATCTGCAGCGAAGCGGCACAGGCAGTGTAGCATTTAAAGGCATTAGAGGAAATTATATGCTTCTGGATTAATGCTGACTTCTGATTAATATTTTTAGGTGGCAGTAGAAAAGAATATGGTAACAGCTGGAAAACCATAGATCAAATAATATCTTTCCTATTGTCATGTTTCTGTACTGAGACGCACATTGTCAGGTTTACTCATGAAATAGCTTGTCTTGATTTTTAAGTGTTTAAGACTCAGCCTCTGATTTTCTGCCTAGGAACAATCAGTGGAGTAGAAAAGAGGAGAGGCAAATGACAGCTTATTTATAGTTGAAGACCTCCATGAAATATCAAGTCAGCTTGAGTTACAGAGGGAAATGCCATGGCTTGGTTGAAAACAAAGTGAACCAACATCTTCCATGTATTCCCTGTACGCTGAGGGCACTGTTAAATCAAGAAGACAGCTCTTTCCTAGGCTACCCCTGCTCTAAGCTTTTAATCTTCTGTAGTGAGAACTGTGCACATCCCTTGTTAGGAAGTGCTCTCTACAGTCCCTGGCTCCCTCCAGGAGATGCTCCAGGTTACCTGTGCAGGCAGAGTCATTGCCCTCTGGTTCGGAAAAGGGCAATCCAGCCACCCTTTTATCAGTTGTGCTCCTCTGCCCCCCAAAGCAGACTGTTATTTATCCAACCCTGACTCTCTCTCTCATCTCTCACTCCTGCAGGAGTATCTGTGCAGTGCCCAAGGTGCTCCCAGCACTGAGCTGGTTATCAGTGCTTTTTCCTGCTGCTGTGGTGGGGAGATCAGGGTGTGATGTGGGATGGAAACCAGAGCAATGTACGTGCTCTGACCAACATGACTGATCTATGCTGTTTAATTGCTTCACAAAATATGCAAAAGCACTTGAGTTCATTTAGGAAAGTTGGAGTGTTTACAGGAAAGTGGAAATTGAGCTTGAAAAAATAATTATCCTTTTTTTGCCTTCACTTTAATGGCTATGCAGAAGAGCCTTTTAAATATGTCCATATGTGGGTTTTAACCATTAATTCCACATCAGTATTTCACCTTTTTCCTTAAGTGATTTCTATATTCCTACTAACCAACAATCATTTTGCCTGAATTTCATTTCCTTGTAATAGCAAACCCATCAATCTCTGCTTTATTAAACAGGGAAGTAAGCTTGGAAGCCAGAGCACTCAGATTTGATAAAAGATGTTATGCAAACCATTGATTTTAATTTACAGCAATATCCACTTCTTCCATTATTAACAACTTTGAATTACTAAGACTGAATAATTAACAAGTATTTCTACTTGATGATAGATTATCCAAAAGGCAGATGTACAGCCACGCAGCCCAGATGAACATCCCTCTTGCACCCCCAGCGATGCATATGCCTATTTGATGTTCCCCAGGGGAGCAATGCAACATGGCATGAGAGAAATACTCTCTCTGTTTCTGAAACTATTATCAGAACAAACGTTCCACTGGTAAGAGTGCCAGTATGTGTTCCTGATCTGCTGGGCTCTGCTCAGAGCCCTGGGCTGTGGTCAGTCAAGGCAAGTGAAGCCACCAGGATGCCACCGCCCTCAGGGCTTAAAACATTTCCCTGTTCTTGCCTGAAGTCAAAGAACCCATCAGTCTTCAGGCAGGGCAACATCTGGTGAGATGTGGCTTAGGGCTAGGCATTTGCAGAGATTGTTTTGATGAGTAAAAACTCAAAATCTGTGCACCAAAGAAGACCCAAGGGGGGGTAATTCTCTTCGGTGTCTGTTCATGTGCACAGCTCTTGGCAGCTGATGAGGCTGGAAGGGAGGGAGGGAGGTCTCTGTACAGGGCAATAGGCTTTTCCCCTGGGGAGGATGTCCCCTTCCAGGGCTCTGCATGCTGGAGTGAGAAACCCCATCCACAGCTGATGGCCAGCTCACCCCCAGCGTGGCTCGGGGATGGGGGAGCTGTCCCTCCCCTCTGTACACGCTGCAGATACAGACACAAGGTGCTCAAATAACACAGCCATGAGAATTGTTTCGGAACAGCAGAAGGACGGGCAAAGCTAGATAAGGCAAAATATAAATCTAACTCAGCCTGGCTCTGTATAAACTAAACCCTCATCATCCTCTTTGCTGCTGTGCCAGCAAGTACGTGCTGCCACGCTCACCTGGGAGGAAGAGGAACATCTTTTGTGGGTGCTATTCAGCGTGGTTTGACATTTTGTTTCACAAATGCAGCCAGACAGCAGCGTCAGCCTATTGTGAAGGTTATTTGGGCAGGTACAATCGCAGCTCTCAGTGAAGGTGCCTTTGATCCCACCACCCCATTGTTCCTCAGGCTTTTCATCCCACCTGGTACCCAGCTAGAGGGGCTGTGGCTGAGACCTGACTTTGAAATTGTTTCTTTTCCATTTCCCTTCAATTTTCACGGTGTCTTTTTTTGCTGATGAACATCATTAGTGAAGGCACTGGCATTCAACTATGCCAAAAATACTGATGCTTGGCCAGTGTCTGACCCTCCCCAGCAGTGCAGCAGCCCCTTGCAGAGGAGAGCACACAGTGGGCCCGAGTGGTCTGTGCATCCTGCTGTGCATGGTGCCCACCAGCTGCTCATCCTTTTCCAAAGGAGTTTGCTGCAGTGCAGGTTCATGTGTCAGCAGCTCCCATCTTCCTCCCTCCCCAAAGCTCCAGTGCAGGATTGAGGAAAATGAGGTCTTTCAGATCAGATGTATATGGAGATGGACGGGGGAGAGAAAGAGTGGTTTTTAATGAGGGGAATGAGTGACATCCTGTTCCAGGAGCAGCCATGTGGCCAGTGGCCAATTCTATTGGGTGAAAACCTTGTAGTGAGGCGGAATACATCCAACTATGTCCACTCTATGTGACATTTATTAATCTCTTAGTTTTAACACAGGAGATTATCTGGAATTAAAAGGTGCCTGTTCTCTCACAGGTGAGAAAGCCTGACAGAGTTAAAAGTGCTTGGACAATGCTGTCAGGTACGTGGTGGAATTCTTGGGGCTGTTCTGTGCAGGGACAGGAATTGGACTTCCATGATCCATGTGTGTCCTTTCCAACTCAGGATATTCTATGATTCTCTTTCTTATTATACCCCTATAATTGCTCACGGTTTGGAGCCTGCACATATCTGCATAGTGCTGGGTTTTTCTGTGAAACTGGTGTGAATGAAGGGCCTCTCCTTTCCTCTTCTTTTTTTTTTGCTCATAAACATCCTCACCTGCCCGGATGAACCTATAGCCAGTGATGTGCTGCCTTGTAAAACATCAAAAAATAAGGAATTCCTACATTATTGTTCATATTCCATATGAAGAATCCAATGTCAGCAGGCTGCAGTCTGCCCCACTGGGGCAACTGGCAGTGGGAGGAAAAGTCAAACTCTGAGTGGCTTTTAGGGACAAAAATGGGGATTGTGATTAAATGGGTGTTCTGCAATGCAGGCTCAGGGTAAAGTCATTCTCTAGAACCTTCTCAACATGGCACAGGCAGGACTTCAGCAGCCTCCAATAATTTATAGCTTTGCCCAGATCAGGAGCATTCAGTGAGATAAAGTGTAAAAACCTGGAATGTTATTTACTAAATAAAAAGTGACCCCAGAGGCAGTCAAGGTAAAACAGAATAACAGTTCAATTTTTCAATTACCTGAACAATCTCTCAACATTAATCCTGGGTGTCGAATATCAGCTCCGTACACTGAGAAGAAATTTCCCTGCTGAGTTAGTGTCAAGTGCTGCTCTTAATGCCAGTTTATTTCCAGCCACACTTGATAAGACGAACAAACACCCCTTCTCACCTGGGTAATGTAATGGGGAAACTTACACAAGCAGGTGAAGGTCTAGGATACATTTTATTCTGAATACATCATTACAAATTGTTTTAAGGGAAAAGTGGCTCAAACTTTTGTAATAAAACCAGTTTTATGAGGAATTGGACATCTTTTATTGCATGCTGTGTATTAGCTTCCTGCTTTACAGGCTCTGAAAAAAACTCCACCAATAATTTCTTTGAAACATTTAGCAAACTGTTTCTAGAAATGCAGACTTAAAATACGTGTTTTCATGTTATCCTTCTTTTTTCTTTTCTTCATTAACGGAAAGAAATTTTTGATTTCAAGGTAGGGGGAAATTGGGCATACACTGGTAAAACATTTTATTTCCTTTTCCTAATCCTGGAAAAAGAGAAAAAAAAGATGCCAGGCTTCCTCTTCTTTTGTGACAGAGTGAAGGAAGGAGAGAACAAGGGAAAATATTATGTAGAAGATTTCAAAATTTAAGATGTAAAATGCTCGCTTGAGGAAAGTTTGAACCCAGTAGTTCTTGCCCTATCAACTCAGGAACTGTAGTGACAGAACAAGGAGCAACCTGGTCTAGTGGAAGGTGTCCTTGCCCATGGCAGGGGGTGGAATGAGATGGTCTTTAAGGTCCCTCACAAGCCAAACTATTTGGTGATGTTATGATACGAAGACCCTGGGGCCAAAAATGGAAAAACAACAGAAAAGAAAACCAGAATACTTCTGCATGGAAAATAACATTATTTACTGGGGTGAAAAAAGAATGAAAACATTCTTGTCCGAAGGATCTGAACTGGACTGCCAAAAATCAGGCAGAGCTCACTCCAGATCTCATAAATGGACTCCTCCACCATGGTGGCTCCTCCAGCTCTGAGCAGCCATGGGCACTGCAGGCACCCTCCACCTGTATCTTTGTGCTGATGGATGGGAATGAATAGAAATGGACATGGATAGAAATGCTTTTTGTTTGGGATCTTGGTGGGAAAGTCTCGCTGCGACAGGCGTGGGAGGCTGCTCTGACCCTCACCGACACCGGTGCCCGTGGCTGGCCCTGCCTGGGCCATCCCCCCCCAGCGCTGCTGCAGCTTCTTTTCTTTTCTCTTCTCTCTCTGTGTGCTCCCCAGTTCGAGTGAGGGCTTCGGCATAGCGGGGAAGATCGTGCTGCTCACCTTCATCTCCGCCGTCATTCTGATGGCCATCCTGGGGAACCTGCTGGTGATGGTGGCCGTGTGCCGGGACAGGCAGCTCAGGTGAGCCCACCCAGCCGGCCACCGCCCGCCCTCCCCTGGGAGGAACGGGGAAATCCCCCACCTGCAACGCCCCGTGCCTGCAGCTGAGGGCAGAAACTGCCACTCCTTGCACCACGGCAGTGTCAGACTCGCACTGGCCTTGCGCATCCCTCCTTGTGCCCCGGTGGTGGGATCATTTTAGTATCCATCCTCAACATTTTTAACATTCTCAGTGTAGAAAACCAGATAAATCAGTGGAAAACAGAGCTAAGCAGCAACTCCTTGGAGAAGCAAGTTGGCCTCTACCCCTTTTTTCCATCTCATAGTTCCTAACAAGCCCATCAGAAAACCACGCAGATTGAGGTCTGGTGGCAGTTGTGCTGCACTGCCTCACCTTGGCAAATGTTGCCCGTGATTTTGCAGGGGGGAAGGTCACAGACAAAATTCCTGTTTTCCTATTTCGAGGTTGCTGCTAACCCTGGGAATTGTCAGACCAGCCTCAGGAGCAGAGTGAGGTATTTAACACCCTCTGTTCGTGTTCTGCGTGGGATTTTTAATGGATTTAATTCTATTTTATTGTTGTGATTTAAAAAGTACTCTTCAAGTTAAAATTACAGCTTCAGTCTAGATTATTCTCAGTGCTTTCTGGAAGGATTTTATCAATTTACAAGTTAAAATGAAATCCCCCTCTTCCACCCCAAACTCCAGTGCAAGCTGTGAGGCTGAGCCACATGCAGAGACCTGTGAGCATCTATTTGCCTCCTCTGTGTGAGCAGAAAGATGTGTCTATACAGAGAACATGGTGGATATTTAACTGGAAATGAAAAAGCTAGGGGTAACTGTGTGAAGTGAGTGGCACGTTAGAGATGACCTTCTAGTGTGATGGAGCAAATTAGACCCAAAATCTGTCTGAAATCTCAGTGCAGAGGCGGCTGCACTGAAGTTATCCCACCCTAATTTTGTGATCTGTCTTACAGGAAAATTAAGACCAATTATTTCATTGTTTCCCTGGCCTTTGCGGACCTGCTGGTATCGGTGCTGGTGATGCCCTTTGGAGCCATGGAGTTGGTTCAGGACAACTGGATCTACGGAGAGATGTTCTGCCTGGTCCGGACGTCCCTCGATGTGCTGCTCACCACGGCGTCAATCCTGCACCTGTGCTGTATCTCGCTGGACAGGTACGAGCAGGAGAGCTCAGGGAATACTCACAGGGCTTTAGTTCCTTGCAGTGCTTTTGGTTAGCTGGAGTAGCCAAAGGGCAAAGGTGAACCTGCTGGGCACCACAGAGCAACAAATCTCTCTCTCAGTGGCTGATTTTGGAGAGAGGTGTCTGAATCCTGGTGAGTGCAGAAAAACTTGGGAAGGAATGAGATCTATGCTGAGATCAAGCCAGGGGCTCTGTTCCTTTTAACCATTGTCTGCAGTTTTTCAGGGTAAAGGACGGAACTTCCCATACAGAATAGCAAGAATTTTTTCACAAGATAAATAGTTAGCAAAAAGACACTCTGACCAGCTCTTCTGACAATAGTTAGAGCTTTTGTTTGAATTCTGTGTGGAGATTTCAATACCGTTAAAAATACTGTTACTTAGTATTACTAATATGGCTTAAATAACCGTAATCATTCTCATCATTGTGACAACTGATATTTAAAGAGCATCTTTCATCCAGAGAGTCTGTGTGGAGCCAGACTTCAAAAGATAGTACATTAACCTTCCATTGATGGGCAACACAGCTCTGTGGTGGGAGAGAGGGCACCAGCAGGGGCAGTTTTGTATCCAGAGAAAAGCTGACGTCAAACAGCTATGGCTTCTTCCCTTATCTGGACATTTAGATGGCTGGAACACAAATAAGAAGCTCGTTATCTCAAAAACGTTGACGAATTGCCACTTTGAGCCAATTACCAGGAAAGCAGATGTTGGGCACCGTGCTCTGGATGTGACCTTCCTCTATAAAATGCTGGACTTTGATTCCCCAGGCTCTTAATTAACTATAGGGGGTTGGTTAGAGAAGGGGACATGAAGGGAAGATGTTATTTCTCCCCCTGATCTCCAACACCTGCAGGGGATGGGGAACCTCCCATGTGGGGGGCACAGAAAGGAGGCTGTCCCGTTTCTCCTGCCCTCTTGCAGACTCTCACCACGTCATGAGCTCCTGCTCCTGCTGCCTGTAGCCACTGGTCCCCATGATCCTGAGACAGCCTTGTCTGGGGTGGCAAAGGGGTTGGGACAGCCTTGGCAATCAGAATGTGTGGCTCAGAGTTACTGCATTAGAGTTACAGACCCCAGACCTGGACTTTAAAGGTTGCTGGTAGAAACTCCAATTTTTTTCACAATTTTTAGTTGTTTTGGGGTTGTTTTTTTTCCACAGTAAGAACCCAAAGAGTGCCAAGAGGACAGAATAGATAAGGAGGCAAAAGTGGATGGCCCTGAGAAGTGCAGAGCAGGTAGATGAATGACTGGGTTTCTGTGAAGGGAAGAATGACTCAGCCCATCACTGATCTGTTCTCCATCCCCAGTGCTTCCCTGGTCCTGGCAGCTGGAGGAGCACTGGCAGCTTTGCTTCCTTCACAGAGTCTGATTTAATTTTTGCTGCCTGTTGCCCTCGTGTTCATTCAGACTTTATGGCAGTGTGCTGCTTCCAGTTGGTATTTTTTTCTGTGATTCATCTATTTCCTGCTTTCTGTTCTGTTTCAGGGCATACAACTGTGAGTTTTGGGGGGCATTTTTTGAGAAAACTGGGTGGTTAATCTAATCCTAAGGACTCAGTTTGGAAGTCATTCCCTTTAACATTTTCACAAAGCGTTGCTTGAAAATACTTTTATCTGATAATATCTTGTATCTATTTTTATTGCTGCTTCTGGAAAAGAAAGAAACAAGCCAGCATTCCATCTTTAATTCTCAAAGGCATTTGAGAAAATCTGGAGAAATAAACACAGGATAAACTGATTTTACTGCTCAGGGAGCAAGGTACTGCAGAGACTTAGAGCCACTTCCAGTCTCATCTGAAAAATGGTTTTTCCAAGGTAGCAGGGGTATCTCAGGGTTCACTGAATCCAGAGTTCCCAGCCACTGTGTTATGCTCAATCATAATCTCTTTGATATTCTAATGTAATAGATTTACGCTTGAATTATTTATTTATTGCATGTTTTATGCATACACGTCCATTCTTTGAGCCTGTGCAATAAAAATAATTGCACTGCACATAAGCAGGCCAAGAAGCTCTGACAGTCTCCTATACAGTTAACCTGTCAGGAAAGGCAGTTTTCTCCTCCAATATTTGCAGTACAATTTGCAATACAAGTACTTCTCGAAGTCTTGGGTGGGAGGGGGAAGCAACAGAGAAACAAACAGGTCCTAAATGTCTGTGTTGGGCTCTCTGCTTCCTCCACCTCCCTGGCTGTATCCCAGCTTGGGAAGCTTCCCCCAAAGGCTGTGTCTCTGCTGGGCACTGTTTGCCTGGCACGTTCCAAACATTTGCACACAACAAACCAGCCCTGACTGCGTGTGTTTGTACATCCAACGCTCATCTTACCGGAATTCAAACATCCCCCATAATCACTGCTAAATAAGGGCTAAAGCAAAGCAGATGTACCCAAAGAGTGTTGGAGCACCAGAGTGACAGATGCTTGTTACGCCGTTTACAAACATTAATTAACATTAATGTACTGTTCAGACATCAAATTAGCACAATCCCTGGAGAGAGATGACGTTTTAGAGGCTCCCAAGCCCCGATGCTCTGCAGTGGCAGTCCCTGTGCAGAAGGAGCCCTGTCCCTGTGCCAGGGGGAACGGAGCATGGTTGGAGGAGCACGTCCAGGGTCACGGGGTGGTCACTCCCTTTGCCTGCTGTGCCTGCTCCTCCTGCTCCCAGGGCTCCAGCACATCACTCCATGCTCATCCCTTCTGCACTGTGTCACAGACGAGGCACAAGGGATTGATTGCACAGAATCACAGAATATGCTGAGTTGGAAGGGACTCACAAGGGTCAGCGAGTCCAACTCGTAGCCCTGCATAGGACCATTCCCAAGAACTGTTTGCTTCCCAAAGGATGCCCAGGCCATGGTAGGGCTTAAGGTTGGGAGCACAATGTCTTTTTCCAGGACAGGGAGAAGCAGCTGTGCCAGCAGAACATCTGCTGGCTGTCCAGGGGGACGGTGAGCTCGTTAGTGGGGAGACTTATTAGGCTTTAAATAGCTGTCAGTAAGTAATGATTAGGCAGTTGGCAATCTGATTATATGACACAAATTCCAGCTAAAGTTCTGAGACTATAAATCCCTGTGCCTGTTTGGGTAAAAAGGTATCCAATCTTGTGCAGCTCCCAGATGCTCAGGTGGAGAAACAGAGAGGCAGCACGGGAAGGGGCTGAGCAAGGGCACATGGGGACTGTCCACGAGGCTGTGAGAGGTGACACGTACCTGCAGAGTTATCCCTGTTGGCCAGAAAACAAATCCAGGGTTTGCAGAATTCAGGTCTGAGAGCATTAAGAAAAATACCAGAGCAGATGGCCATGGCACAGTCTGAGGGATGCACTGTCCTTTATTGATCTTTACAAACCCTCTAGAAATCCGGTAATTTATTTTGCCACTGTTGCTGCCAATAACCCTCCACACGCACCAGCCACGCAGGGACCATGGAGGAGTCCTCTGTCTCCATTTGGCAACATACGTTTGTTTGTATTCCTGGCTAAATTTATCCAGTTCCAATTAACTGTTCTCTTTAGCATTTTTCTCAGTGTAATTATCTCAACACCAGCAGGCCGTTGTTTTTCTAATAAGAATTTAATTTTGTTAGATATAATCATTTTAGGACATTTTCCTTTTCTGGACCGGCGGTGCATAACTTTGTTTTATTTGGCGCAGTGAGAGCCCAAAGTTTATTTGCTCTGTGGGAAAAAGGAAAACAGAAAGAGCTGTTCTTTCAAAAAAAAAGTTAAAATGTAGTTATACAGAGGCCAGAACCTGGTTTCAATGCAATCTCAGCAACACCAGTAGTGCTGTTTTAATTTCACACAGGCACAAATAAATTGAGATCGTGGCTCTTTAGGTTCATCACTTGGTCAGGGTTCAGCTGGAGACTCTGTCTCAGTCTGGATTCCTGTGTGGGCATGGCTGTTGCACCATAACTTTGGGAGAGAGCCAACAGCACCCACAGTTTTCCCATTCTTTTGTCTTCTTTTTCCTAGGTTATTTAAGGAGGGTAAACTAATATTCAGTATGAGTGTTCAGTAAACATTCTTTGGCTCATTTTGGCCCCAGTGATGATAAAGCATATGGTATGTATATAATTTTATATATACACATGACACCAAATGGTTTTAAATGTGGGCCGCCCCCAGAGCCAGTCTGTTTAGTAAAGGTGGGGGTGTATTTGTCTGTCTGTGATATCTGTAGAGCTTCTTGCAGGGTAGTGTCTACATGCCCACAGCTCAAACAAAATTGCATTGCAAGGCAGGGAGAGACTTAAATTTTTCTCCCAGGACAAGGAATTATCTAATGCAGCTCAGTAATTATATTTCTGTAATGCCCAGAAGGCAAAGAAAGAGCAGTGTTGTGGTTGGAGCATCACTGATCCTGAGGCAGAATCTGAACGCTCCAAGAGTGCTCTCTGGAGAGGTGCCCAGGGCAGCTTTTCCACTGCCACGGGACTGAGGAGGTGCTTGGATAAATAAATAACCCTCCTTGCTATGGAGCACAGCTGAATTATGCTGCTCTCAGTCAGATCCAGGTCACCAGTGTGTTGGACTGCAATGCTGTTTCTAATTGTGGCCTGGAGGGAGCCTGCAAAAAAGATGGAGAGAGACTGCCTGGAGTGACAGGACAAGGGAGAAATGGCTTCAAACTGACAGAGAGGAGGTTTGGCTTAGATATTAGGAAGAAATACTTTCCCTCAGGGTGGTGAGGCACAGGCTGCCCAGAGAAGCTGTGGCTGCCCCATCCCTGGAAGTGTTCAAGGTCAGGTTGGAAGGTGCTTCCAGGAGCAACCTGGTCTAAGGGAAGGTGTCCCTGCCTGTGGCAGGATGGTCTTTAAGGTCCCTTCCAAGGTTTCTGCCCTGTGATTCTATGATGCTCTGATATCTGCAGTGGCCACAGGAGCCATAAGTGAGGACATTGGAGCCATGGATTTCTTCTATTAAGGCATCTGTGAAAAGTTAGCACTTGATTCATTCCTGTGGCAAATGTCTGATAGAGGAAAAGGGAAAGTATTATAATAACCTTTGCTTTATGGTGCTGCTTGGAAGATCTACAGCTCCAGGAAGGGATTCTTGTATTTCCCCCTCAACAAAGAATGTCATTGCAGAGGCAAAGGAGAGGGTGTGTTTCACATCATCTGCTCTGCTGTAGGTAACAGGGAAGTTAACATTTTCAAGGAACTGCAGAAACATAGGTCTTGACTGATCATAGTAAGAATTAATATTTAATTGAACCTGCACATTGTATTAATCATTTGTATGTATTGCATTTTATATTCATCCATCACACTGTCACACCAACACATAATAAATATTCTTTATGAGCCCAGGAAAAACAGCTTTAGCTTGAAAGGAAGCAGAAATATAGAGTATGTCTTTATTTTCAGCCTTTGACTGAAACTATTGATAATCTTAAAGACATAATTACTTTTCTCCCAGTGAATAAATAGCTGCTTAAAATCTCAAGCCATCACATACATCAAATCACCAGCTACTGCAAAAACTGGTGTGACTTCAGAGACTTCTGTTAGCATGCAGAGATGTCTATTATCTGACTCCTGGGGCTGTTGGAGGGAAATCCTGCCAGGCTCTGGAGAAGTGGACGTTTTCCTTCCCTGCCTCCCTCCCCATCAGCAAAATTGTCACCCACACTCCCATCGTGGCACCTTGTTACCCAGAACAGTGGCACTTGCTGAACACAGGGAAGCTCTGATAGCAGCAGAAATAAAATAAAATCTTTTGACATGTAAGTGGAGGAAAATTGCTGCTGAATCACTGGGAGGGAAGAAATATGAGAGCTTAAGATGTCATTTTTACAGGCATAATTTTTACTCTAATGGCCTTTAATAGCATGAACAATTCAGTGTAAGGCTGTCAGCTGAAGAAGAGAGAGAGGTACAGAAATGTGATAACTCAAACTGCCTGGAAGAATTGTTTTCCTACTATAGTTAATTAGCAATGTATTGTGGTTTTCCTTTTCTGTTTGCTTATCCAACTTGTGAGAGGGTAACTGGTATCTTGGCTGTTCTTATCCTTTTATTGGATTTCTTCTTTTGCCCTTTCTGTAAATAAATGCAGTCTCTTGTGACTTGCAGTAACTTGCCTTTGATGTCCAGTGCTGGGCAGCACTTTCCAGTAGGTGACTTTCAGATAATAAACAATTAAATATGCCAGATATAATTCCCTTGTGTTGAGAGTCAGAGGAGCAGCTGCATGTAATACCAAGGAAGCACCATCTGTCCTGATAAACATTGCTGAAAATACCTGTTTGAATTCAAAGGTCAGTTTATTTCCTGGAAAAAGGAAATCAAGGGTGGAGGGGGAAATCCGAACGCAGTAAGCTGTAGTGACAGAGGGCAAGGTCACACAAACACATTGTGGCTGTTCTAGGGAGGGTCCTGATCCCAGGAACAAGGGAAAGGTTTATTCTATCCTCTGAAATCATTTGCATATTGTAAGCTGACCGTGATGGTCCTCACTGTCTTGATAGATTGTGAAAAATGTAGGTTGGAAAGGACCTCTGGAGATCTCTGATCCAGCCCCTCTTCTCAGTACAGGGACAAATTTAAATGCATCTTCCTTCAGTGCCCAGTTTAATTTGGAAATCTTTGAGCTCATGAGCCGGTGAAGTCAAGCTCCAAAACTAAATCCTGTAAATTATCCGGCCTGTCCTTGTCCCTCATGGGAGGGATGGGAGGGATGAACCTCACTGGCTGCCGTAGCCAAGTTCCAGGAGAGGAACATTTCACCCACTGATCTAAAAGAGCAGTTCCTGTCAAACACACCATTTCTTTGGAAGTGAAACTTTTCAGAGGAACAGGCTGATTTTCATGCACGCAAGAAACCAGGAGAGAATGTAGGAATTATCAAATTGCAATACTTAATACTTGAATGCTTGTTTCAACATTTTTCCCCTGTGACACTTCAAATCTTGTTTCAAAGAGACTTTTAAAAAATGTTTTCTTTTGACACTTTGATATTATTTCAACCCTTTGTGTGGAATATATCACCTGATTTTATCAAAATAAAGCAAGTCAGTTGACTCCACATGACTTTTAAAAAAAAAAAGTCTCAGAAAAAAATCGAAATTCTTGTAGTTTTGTCCCTGTTTAGGACAAAACTCTTGGTTTCCACTCAAATCTTGATGTAATAAATTGCACATCTCAAGGGACACCTCTCTAATGAACACACATAAACTGTGTCTATGTATGCATCCACATATGTCTTATTTGAATGTGCTGCTAGCACTTAGAAAATCTCACAGGCATTCCCTGAGGTTCATAGTCCAGCTTTAGTGTATGGTTGTTAATTTAATTTCTCTAATTCATGATTCTGCTGACCTCATAAAATTGATTTTTATGGCCATTCAGCAGTGAACCTCTCTCTATATACACATTATACCTTATGCTGAGGCTTGTCTCAAAAAAACATCTCGGACAGATCATTCATTCCCTTTAGAAAAAGTTATTGGAACTGTAGCTGCTTCTTCAGTGCAGGGCTCGCATCCTATGAGGCACCATATTGCATCATTTTTGTGCTTCCCAAATGTGGAAAGTATATTTTCCAGTAGGTGACTTTCAGATAATAAACAATTACATGTGTCAGACATAGCTCCCCTGTGTTGAGATGATGATCATCTCTGGCATGATCATTATTCATCTGCTAAGGAGATGTGTTCCTCAGGCATAGAGCTGAGCGATATATTTAGTTATTTAGAAAGTCTGAGAATTTGTGGGCACTTCTTGTGTCTCTGGACCCCAGTCCTGTGGCAGGTCTGGGGTCATCAAAAATCTAAAGATCAAAAAATATTTCATTGGGAACCTGAGACAGACTGTCAGGTCAGGACCACCAAAAGTCTGCAATAGGATGATATTTGCTGATCTGCTCTGCTTATAAATATATAATATTTTCAAAGCAAAGAGATTTCCAATTTTAGGTTTGCTGCACCTTCCTGATGCATAAATCCACCTGCAGGTGGGTGGCACAGGGACTAAACAAACAGAAGAGTTGGTTTCTTACCTCTTTCAGAAAACATTTTTAGTTTATAGCTGGTTGTTATTTTAGGACCTGTTGTACTTTGAATGTGAATGGATCTGGAGGAGGAAGGAGAATGCAAGGCACACCCCCCTGATGGTGCAAAGATGGGAAACCCCATGCAGATATTTCCTTGTCCTTGTGGCAGAAGGTTAAAGCCCAGCCAGACAAGAGGTAGATTTCTGGGAGGTAGAAAGGGAGCTTGGTTATGGAAAACCACCCTTCATTTTACTGACATTTTCACGGCTTTGAAAGACTTTGCAGTAACAGCTTTTAAAGCCTTGTGAAAATAAATGTCCATTGCAGTTAGGAAAGCCCCAACACTGGCTCAGTAAAGGCTGAAAGGAAGGAAGGGAAATTCCTCCATCGCAGTACGGAGGGTGAGGACTCAGTGACCCAGGGCAGGGGGTGAGGGGGGCTGAGTATGGACTCACTCCCTTGCCCTGCAACCTCAGACAAACCACAGCATTAACCTGAGCCTTATTTTCCCTGGCAGGAAAACAGAAAACACTGGTTTTTTCCTTGCAAGTCACTCTGAAACCTTATTTACTCATGCTGTGGAAATTTCCTGAATTCCTTGTGTAAGAGGGAATCGATGGAAATAGGCAATAGACTCCTTTTTTTCTCTGTTTTGAAAGGCAGGAGAAAGAAGCTGGAGAAAAGGCTTTACAATTTTATTTTTAGAAGACTTGAAAGGCTCGTTGGATGACAGTGGCTCTCTCCCTTTTCTCCTTGCAGATACTATGCTATCTGCTGCCAGCCTCTGGTGTACAGGAACAAGATGACCCCTCTGCGCATCGCTGTAATGCTCGGAGGGTGCTGGGTAATCCCAACGTTTATTTCTTTCCTCCCTATCATGCAAGGCTGGAATAGCATTGGCATCATTGATCTGGTGAGTAGCTAAGGAGAATACACCATTCAGATATCTTTGGTACTGCTTGTTATCAACACATTGGATTTTTGGAGGATATCTTTAGGGGGTTCGAAATGACTCTGTCTGAAAGGACTGACAAAGGAACAGTGGTGACTCTGGGAGAGGATTTTACCCACCTCTACGAATCAGTGCAGTGAGCAGTCCCTTGAAAATATGCCAAGCCCCAGCTGGGCCCTGACAGACATCTCAGGAGTCCTCGGTTCCCCCTGGCCTTTGCAGCTCTCAGGAAGTTCTGGCCACTGCCATCGCAGCCCAAGGGTCCCTCTTTGCCAGGAATCCCAGACTGCCCCAGAAGGGATAGTGCTTGGAATATTCCCTGTCTTGGTGAGCCTTGACAGGGGAAGAAGATGAAGTAAGAAGACCTGTGTAAGTAATTCCAGCGGGAGTCAATTTTCCCCACTGCAGTCTGGCTTCATTTGTAGGTTCCTTTCTACAGAGAAAGGATTGAAGAGTTGCAAATCTGCTCTTCTTCCAATGTAGAGGTGTAGGAATTAAAAATGGCAAACTGTGAAAACACCTTATTTAGAAGAGCTTCTTTAAAGGGATGTAGCACCTTCTCTGCCAAGTCAAGGACCTATGAATACTTTTTGGCTCATGGAGAATAACAGGTGCAAGCTGCTGAGCCTCTACACAAGGTGACAAAGACAAAATTGCTTCCCATCAAGCACCTTTAGGATGGGCAGCTGATAAAAAAAGGAGATGCATTTTGCTTATTTTACAAACCATGTTAGATATCTGATTTTATTCACTGATATTTTGCCCCAGCTTTCCAGAAAAGGCACCCAGCTGCCTGTACCAGCTTTTCTGAACACCAGTGCAAGCCCTGTCCTTCCTTCTAACTTGCTGGTGTTCAAAGATACCAGTAGGTGCACGTTGAGAGGGAGTGCAGGGTTCCAATACCAACTGGTGTTTACTTCAGGTAAACTTCATTACGTGCCCAATTAAATAATTTTGATATTATAGGATTATTCTCTTTTAGAATAAACAAGAGTATGGAGTGACAGGACAAGGGGGAATGTTTGGAAGAAATTAGTTACTGGGAGGGTGATACAGAACTGGGACAGATTGCCCAGAGAAGCTGTGGCTTCCCCATCCCTGTAAGTGTTCAAGGCCAGGTTGGATGGGGCTTGGAGCAACCTGGTTTAGTGGAAGGTGTCCCCAAGGCAGGGGGCTTGGAACTGGATGATCTATAAGGTCTCTTCCAACCCAAACCATTCTCTGATTCCATGATTCCATGACTCTAACTTCCTTCCTTCTTCCTTCTCCTTGTCCTTCCTCCCGCCGCCCCAGATCCAGCAAAGGCAGTTCAACAAGGCTTCCAACTCCACCTACTGCATATTCATGGTCAACAAGCCATACGCCATTACCTGCTCCGTGGTGGCCTTCTATATCCCCTTCTTCCTGATGGTGCTGGCCTACTACCGCATCTACATCACGGCGCGGGAGCACGCCCGGCAGATCCAGGTGCTGCAGCGCGCGGGGGCCCCCACGGACGGCCGGCAGCACCCCCCAGACCAGCACAGCACCCACCGCATGAAGACTGAGACCAAAGCTGCCAAGACCCTGTGCATCATCATGGGGTGCTTCTGCCTCTGCTGGGCCCCCTTCTTTGTCACAAACATAGTGGACCCTTTCATAAACTACACGGTGCCGGGGAAGCTGTGGACGGCTTTCCTGTGGCTGGGCTATATCAATTCAGGGCTGAACCCTTTCCTCTACGCCTTCCTGAACAAGTCTTTCAGACGTGCCTTCCTCATCATCCTGTGCTGTGGGGATGAGCGATACCGAAGGCCTTCCATCCTGGGGCAGACGGTTCCCTGCTCCACCACCACGATCAATGGATCGACGCACGTGCTGAGGTGAGTGTTTCCTGGATGCTGCAAGGTGCCTGGAGTCGCCAGAAAGAGGATTTTTCCAGAGTTTTTCTACAGAATTGGTTTCGCTTGGAAATGTGTTGATCGATTAAATATTTAGAAAGGGAGGGGGCAAGAGAAACCCTGAGGGTGTTCAGGCAGTCTGGGTTTGTAGATAACAGGTACGTGCTGGCACGTGCACTTTCTCTAGGGGTGTGCTCAGGAGAGAGTTGCGAGAATGCAGGAGTCGTGTGTGCGTTTTGGGGTTGTTGTTTGGTCTCGGGGGAACAGCTTGACCTTGGGGAGGCTGCCTAGTCCATCTTCTCTGGGAAAGGGATCACAACCCCTCCTATAGCCCCTTCTCAGGTTCTGCCTTTTTACGCCCTCCAGCCACTGCTGCATCCTCTGAACTGATAAAAGGCAAAGGATGAACTTCTGCAAGCACCCTGACTGTGAGCCATCCATTCCTTGGCTCTCTGCAAGGAGGGGTGTTACCACTTTGTCTCAGCAGTTCGGAAAATGCCTTTTATTGTAGCTCAGCCCCAGCCCACGCAGCCCTGCAGGAGCCCAGGGTGCCTTGCAAGGGCCATGATACACAGTCCTGAGGGTTGGCAGTTTGGAGTTGCAGTGAATTTGAACCCCACACCTCACAATCCCCTCCCATCTCTGACTACCTCGGTGTGTTCACTGCAAGAGCAGAGTGTGTGGGCTGTGCATTGGGTGGGTACAGAGGGGCTCGGAGGACTCTGTGGGATGGGACACTGCTGCCTTCCCACCGAGCAGAGAGGTGGGAGGCAGAGCACAGGAGGAAGGGAGGGAAGTACAGTTAACTTCTGTAATATCATAACAAACTGCAGTCTCTGAATAGAACCAGAGGTGTTTCTATGCAGCTGTCTAGAGGAGATTTTGTTCTTTTGGTAGATGTGTACATGAGTCTTCACACGCAGATAAGGACTTTGTAACTGTCCTAGCGTTCAGAGCTGAACCCTCCTGGAGACTAAATCAGACACAGAGCACTTCCCAGCTGGGTCTGATCTGCTGGTTTGCCCAAGCTCCCTTCTGCAGTGATCTCTGAAGTTTTAGAAAGAGTCCTGAGCCACATAATGGATGGGAGATGTGGCAGGGCTTGTCACAACCTTGAGACAGACCTCTCAAGCTCTCTAAGTCATGAAGGACATTACAATGTATTTATCTCCTGCTGATTAAAAACTGTTTGGTGACCATGATCCCATGGTCTGAGAGCTCTCTGTTGGTGATGGATGTGTGGCACCTTGCCATGCTCAGCCTGTGTTTCTATCAGAAGCTCCTCTGCTGCAGTAAGGAGTGAGAGAGCAGCCCTTGTTGGGGACAGCTCTCCATCCCACAGCGAGGGAGCTGGTCCCCCTGGCTCAGGAACTGCAGGTGTGAAGGCTGAAAACACATCCCTGCAGAGGGAGAGAGCTCTTGCTCCCATCCCTGGTTCACCAGGGTAGCCCTGTGCTCTCAGGATGGCACCCAGTGGATGCAGGGACCAGGACAGGGGATTAGGCACAGAGAAGGAGAGAGTGGTGTCTCTTTTGGATGGCAAACACAGCAACAGGATGGTTTTTGTTAAGTAGACAAGGCAGAGAGAGGGCAGGCAGCCTCTCTCATATGGGGATTGGAGATGTAGAGGACAGGGAACACGTCAGCCCAGAAGCTGAATTGCTTCAGTCTGTGCAGGAGTTTGACCTCTAAGTGTTGCAGATGGCAATGCTGGTGACTCTCAAGTCTCCAAGTTGTCTCATTGCTTTTGTACTGCTACCTCTCTGTGAGACTTCACTGTCCTGCCTTTGTCCTGGGGACAGGAAAGCTCAGGCCAGCAGAGAGTTGAACTCCAGAATGAGTGATCAAGGAGGCTCTGAACACCTCTGGGAGGGCTGAGCTGCTGGTGGTTTCCTTCATTCTCTGCTGAGTGTTCCTAAGCTGACCAAATCCTCATTTTGAGACTTTTTAAAGACATTGGTGTCCCTGTGGTGGCCAAAGCAAATGTGAGGAGTCACCTCCCCTCCAAACCCATTGCAAAAGACCAAGTAAGAATCAAACCCACACAGGACATTGTCCACTTGCAGCTTTTACAAGTCTTAGAGATAAGAGAGTGTCACCTCTCTTCAACATACTCATGTTTGACTTAAATTATGTCCTGTCTTTCCATATCACTCCAGCCCTGCAGAAGGCACTCAGTTCCTACTGCTGCATCCCCTCCTCCCTCTGTGTGCTGGAGGGAGGCAGCTCTGCACATCAGCACTTCTGAGAGCAATTATGTTTTCCTCAGCAACTGATGAGAAAAGTGTGGCTTCTTTTCCCAGTGCAGATTCTGCAGTGATGATGGCAGAGGTATGGGGATTAAAGCCAAACCAACTAATTGTAGCCTGTGGATAGTTAATCTCACTTGAGGAATTTTTATTTCTTCAGTGCTTCTCTCTTAAGTGCCAAAAAGGTTGGATCCAGCACGGATGGTGGAGAAATTTAGTTAGGCAGGTTCTCTCATGACATAACATACATTTCTTTGCTAGCTTTGAAATACAAGGGGTTTGTGCCCAGCAGCTGAAATACTGAAACCTTCCTCTATGAGCTGGCTTCCAACCAACCCCACTGAGGAGCTGCACTGGGGACCTGACTCACACACTTCCAACCTCAAGTTCTTTCTTCCTGACCAAGAGTTTCTGCAGTTGAGAAGTTGTGCAAGTGGGATTTTACAGCTGTTTTTTGTACCCTGGCAGAGGGTGCAGTGCCAAGAAGGACAGACCTTGTGGGCATAGTTCCTGTCCCAAAACCCACAGAGATTTCCCATTTATATTAAGCTGACATGAGCCATTTATCCTGAGAGGGAGTCAGGAGTGGTTGACTGTAAGTCCTCTCCACTTTCAGTCTTGAGAGGATCTGAACTTTCCTTCAGCTCTGCACCATTCTATCCTTGCTCCCACCCATCTCACTGGTGCATTTGCAAGTGCAGGAATGTGTTTGTCACTGTTAAAGTTGAGCTCTTGCTCTCAGATGTGTCTGACGTGGGAGTGTCTTCCAGGCAGGGAAGGCCTTTCTTCTTTTTTTCTTCTGATAATTTTAGTGTCAAAATTTTCTGACATTCCCATTTTGGGATTTTTCACATTTGTATTAGAAATGGGGGGAAAATAAGAAGGAGGAGCAGAGCTCAATAAAACACAGCAGTGAGAAGAGGGAGATGCCCTCACCACACACAGATTGAGACTTATGGAGGCAGTTCTCATTCCTTATTGTGTTTTAATTTATTTTTAAGTAGTCTGTGAAGATTGTGGTGTTCTGGGTGACCCAGGCATGGAGGGACTTTTTGCAGCACAACTGGGGCCAGTCACAATCCCTGTGGTGATGGGGCTGGGGAGCAGAGACTGCACAGTGGCTTGATCATGATATGAGGGTAATTACAGCTTTCTTAATGCTATGGCAACCACCCCACTTTATCCCTAAGTTAGGAACCAGGAGATGGGGAAAGGATTTCCTTTCAGTCACCCGTGCTGTTCTTGAACTCTCCATCAGCTGGTGTGAGACACCCACTCCTTGAACAGGACAAGGCATGGTGTAAAATGTGATTTGAGGATGTCAAGAACAGCCAGGAGATAGATCTTGGTTAGAACTGTATCTGTGTGTGCAGTGGGAAAGTGTATAAGGACTAAATATTCAGCTTCAAGAGAAGATTTTGATTTGCCTGTTTTCCAGTTTTGCTTTCTGCAAGTGTAGGAATTTCCAGAACCCCTATTTTTATCCCTGGATATTCATCTATTTCAATTCTGATTTGTACCATCTGAATTCAGGCGGGACACGTGCAAATGTTGAATTGAAATCTGCAGGGGTGGGTACAATCTGAAATTCATGCCCAATTCATTTTTCAATGGCTGAGATTGCAACTCACATCTCCCAGACAAAGGTTTGTTTCTCTGGCTGCAGCACAAATTGTGTAATTCACTTTAAATATTTGCAATTCATAGTTATAATAACCTATGGTTTGGAATATCGTTCACTGAAAAGACTTGGGAATCGTTCTGGAAAATGAGTGAATAGGAGAATTTACAATGGGCACTCAACTAGTGTATGGCAAAAATTAGTACAATAATGAATGGCAATAGAAGCAGCTTCTGGATGGCTGTACCATGTGTTCAGGGGTTCTGTGCACCACGAGACTCAAAGAAAAATGCCAGAATCATCTGAAAAATGCTGTCTTGCCCTTTAAACAGATTGTTTGCCTATCATTTGTCATGCGTAGATATTTATTCAACACAAACCAACAAACTTGTGCCTTCATGAACCATCGAACCCTGTGCTGCACTAGTGGATGGGAACCCAGGTCAGCATCGCTCGAATTCTTGGATAAAACAAGTTTTGGAATTTTGCCACAGCAAAGAAGATGACTTTGGGTGAAACATATTTGAGCAATGATCAGAATCTGGAACATTTGGGTCAAGGAGGTCACTTTGGTGTGTTCCCTATTTCTTCTCAGAACTGCACTGCTCAGCACAGAGCACTGTGTTAGTCTCTTCAGGGAAAGCTCTAGTGAGAGGTTTATTTACCACTCATTTTCCATCACAGAGAGGTCTTCTCAAAATGTCTATGTTACTTCTCCAAAGTAAAACATATCTTGATTTTTCTCTTAAAAAGCCCAAACTAAAAGAAGCTGGAATTTCATTGTCTTCATAAATACAAAATCAGATAAATAACCCCCTCAGCCCACACTGGTGTCAACACTCTGGAGGGGCGAAAACCCTGGGAGAAGTGTGCAGTAAATCCTAGTGTGCAGCTGGAGCACTGCTGTGCAGGGTTATTGGTCCCTCTAGGGAATGTGAGTAATTGTGCCAGTAAATCTCCCAAACCTCAGCGAGCTCTGGTGTTTCCCTGCTCCACTGGAACAGGCACCTCAGCAACTCGGGTCTCTGGTTTTTAGAAATGTAGCAACTCCACGGGCCTGTTGGAATAAAAATAAATCCATGCTGGTTGTAGGGAAGAGAAGGTCAGAGCTG